CCGAGCTACCACGACACAGGTTCTTGAATAAGTTGCATCCGGACTGTACGTGACCTATTGTTGTCAACGGCAGATATGTAATTGGCGTTCATATTTCATAGCATTGCCTTCGTGTAACGCATTGCTGATCCCGTGAATGCAAGAAACTCAAGAGCTATGACGGCAAACTGCAAGGTTCTATCAGACACAGCACCATGTAAACACACAATTAAGATCCGTTTTGTACTGCTTACCATGATGCCCCCCCTCCAAAACATATAGCAGTCTCAACAGCAAGGACTAACACAACATGGTGAGTTGCAGCACAACACGGCATGACCACATCTTTACACGAAGAGCTGCCAATCGATTACATCATTCTAAGGGCCACCACGAACGACTTAACCACAAGCGAAATTCACCTGCGCCTGGGCATTCTATACCATACTGCGCCAGAAAAGATTGCAGAACCTTGAACCCTAAACCCTCAACAGCCAGGACGTTTCTGGTGAGGCGACCACATGATCCTAGGAGGGGCCCCACCTATGAACAACTAACCGTGAAATCCCCTGCACCCCAACTCCAAGACTCCAAGCCATGAAGGGGTTTCGGGGGTTTAGGGGTTTAGGGCTTGGGGGTTTAGGGTTTAGGGCTAGACCCTCCACCCGAGGCACCCACGCGTTCACGGCCAGGCCAAAGTCGACCAGCGAGTAGCTCGGCCGGCCGGCGGTGTCCACCTCACAGCAGGGTTTCGGGTTTAGGGTTTAGGGTTCGGGTTTGGGGTTTAGGGTTTAAGGTTTGGGGTTTAGGGTTTTGGCTTAGGGTTTTGGTTTGGGGTCTTGGGTTAGGGCTGAAGGTTTGTTGGGAAAGGGGTGTAGGGCTTAGAGGTTTAGGGGCGCGGGGTGTGGCATTGGCCAGACAACATCCAGCGCCAGTTAACCCTGAACCCTAAACCCTACGTGTATGCTCAGCTTGGTGTCGTGCCCTTCACCCTCCATTAGAGGGTCCTTAACGGGGTGTGTAGGGTTTGGGGTTTGGGGTTCAATCGGCTCCCAAGGTACCTACCCTCCCTTACACACCCTCGAAAGCCAGGTAGACTCCCATCGTCCCCAGCGCTGAACGGCAACTCTGCTCCACGTGGCCGTGACTAGTGACCTCAACCCTAAACCCTAAACACTAAACCCTAGTGACTAGTGGTACTAAAACACCCACAACCCCAGGCATCCCCAAGCACTAAACCGAAACTGAAACACTCCAGGGCTGAGAGTTACATTCATGGGTTTTTCCTTCGTGGCTGGAACTTGTCGCGAGAAGGATTCTTAGTCTCTCAAGGGCTTTGGGTGCTTTATAGGGTTTATAGGGTGTGTGTGTGTGTGTGTGTGTGTGTGTGTAAGGGGTGGCTGCGGGAGTCTGCAGCCCCCTACCCCCCCCCCCCCCCTTGGGCTGAGTGCGACGCATCAACCAGGATGTTGTGTGCATTAACCTCGCTGCAACAAGCGGCAAGCCGCAGATTGGAGCACCGTAGCCGTAGCGAGTCAGAAGCCCTAAGCCCCAAACCCCAAATCTAAGCCCTAAGCCCCAAACTCTTGTAGGTTCCGCCCTTCTGTCAAACCCTCACTGCAAGGCGAGCCCTGAAATATGAAGGATTCTGGGCTCCCTCTAAAACCCCTGCGGCTGTTTGTCGGAGGCATAAAGCCAATCTCATTCCCCAGCTTCCCCTTCAACTCGACAGCATGTCGAAGCCGGAGCCCTAGACTACTATTTGCGTAAGGGGCGGCATATGAACCCACCAAGAAGCAAAAAAGACTATCCTTCCTTATAAGCATAAGATAAGTAGAGTTTCATATTCAGTTTTTTTTTGGGGTGGTTCTTAAGTAAACAGTAGTAAACCCTAAACCCAGTCTCCAGACTCCAGGAGAAAGGGCGTCAAGCCTGGAGTCTGGTGGGCTCCCTTGAGACCTCTGAAGCCTCGTGTAGACGAATCTTGTCGGACTCCATGTTGATCCTTCCTCTAGATGATGCCTCCCTCCTTTCATTACCCTAAACCCTAAACCCTAAACCCTAAACCCTAAACCCTAAACCCTAAACCTGAACCCTAAACCCTAAACCCTAAACCTCAAGGGGATGCAAACATCATAGCAGGTACCATGACTCCGAAGACTGGCGGCATCAGGAACTCGGCGTACAGCGCAGGCTCTTCTAGGAAGCTTCAAGAGTTCCAGAACTTGGCGGCTTCTTGAGCTCTGGGGAGTTTCGAGGTTTAGGGTTTAGGGTTTAGGGTTTAGGGTGACGAAACCCAAACCCCAAAGCCCTTCGCAACTCAGGCTCAGGCATCACGGTGGTAGGCCACCGAAGAAATCGAAGCCTGAGAGGCCCCAAACACCGAACCTTGAAGGCCCCCCCTAGCTTGAGGCCCAAGTGACCCCTGCAAGAATGGCCTACTTTACCACACCCTAAACCCTAAACCCTAAACCCTAAACCCTAAACCCTAAACCCGAAACCCTAAACCCTACTCTCCACACCGAGAAGCATGAAAAGGCTTGAGGGTGCTTGACGCGGGCCACTAAACCCTAAACCCTAAACCCTAAACCCTAAACCCTAAACCCTAAACCCTAAACCCTAAACCCTAAACCCTAAACCCTAAACCCTAAACCCTAAACCCTAAACCCTAAACCCTAAACCCTAAACCCTAAACCCTAAACCTAAACCTAAAGCCTCCAACCCCCCCCCCCCCCCCTCAATCTGTCCCATCCTTCGGTCCCGTTAAGCCCGACACCTCCAAGCGCTTGCAACACCCGATTCAGGGCATGACGGTTCTAACCCCCCCAAGCCCTTGAAGGTTCATGGGGAGTTCTACATAAAAGTTGTATAATATATATATATATATACGTGTATGTCTATGTGTATATATATACACACGCGCACACCTTCATCGAGGTGGTAGCAAGAGCTACCCTACTATCTCACCCCACCTACCACCGCAAAAGGTGCTTCAAAGTGCACCCCTCCCGCTTTGGGCCGCAGGCCATGGTCGGCGCAAGCTGCTCTATGAGGGCCCGCGCCTCCACAAGGCGGAGACCAGGTTCAGAGTTTAGGTGGGTTTAGGGTTTAGGGTTTAGGGTTTTGGGTGGGAAGTTAGGAGACTAGGGCCCCTGCAGTCCCACCCTCCGCCCCATCCCCCTTGCTAGCTTGTGTTTGGGCACCCATAATTTGGTTCAACGTCCTCCATCCGAAACCCTAAACCCTAAACCCTAAACCTCCCCCAAAGCCCTCAACTCTGAACTCTGGAATTGATTCAGGCTTTATAATTACATGGGTTGAAGGATTCATGGGGATTGAAGTTTAGCTTGTGGGAGCGCGTTCCAAGCCTGGTCACGCTTAGGGTTTTAGTTTGGGGTGCACTCGCTGCCTATGCGCATACGTACTGCACTTCCACCCTAAAGCTCATCAGCGACCACCATCCCTAAACCCAAACCCCAAACCCTAAACCCTGAACCCTAAACCCTAAAACCCTAAACCCAGAACCGAAATCCCTAAACCCTAATTAAACCCTAATTAAACCTTAATTAAACCCTAATTAAACCCTACTTAAACCCTAATTAAACCCTAATTAAACCCTAATTAACCCCCAATTAAACCCTAATTAAACCCTACTTGAACCCTAATTAAACCCTTCAACCCTAATTAAACCCTACTTAAACCCCGAATTAAACCCTAACCATCCCGAAGTCCCAAGTCCTAAGGGCCCCCCAATGGCCCCAGAGCCATGCGGGCTCCCCGGCAAAACCAACCGCCGTGCGAAGTCGGTCTTCGACCTGCTTGCGCGGTTAGGGGGTTTAGGGTTTAGGGTTTAGGGTTTAGGGTTTAGGGTTTAGGGTTTAGGGTTTAGGGTTTAGGGTACTGTACCCTATGCTCAGGAGTGGGGCCCCAAGCATAATAACAGAAGATTGCCGTTGGAGCTTGAGTGCAAGGCCTGTGTCCAACAACCAACCGTAACACACCACGCAAAAAGAAGCCCTGCACCTCAACATGTCTCAACCCTCTCACAAACGGAACCTCAAAAAGCCCCCTAAACTTCCTAAACTTCGGGGGTTTAGGGTTTAGGGTTTAGGGTTTAGGGTTTAGGGTTTAGGGTTCCCCCACCCCCCCTGCTCCAATCTCCCAAGCCCTCACACCGTCGACTTGGAAAGTTCCCCCTTATACTAGCAGTCCTTCATCGGGATCACAATAGGGGGTACTATCATCCCGACTAAGGACTGTTCTTATCAGGGGATCATCCCAACCCTAAACCCTAAACCCTAAACCCTAAACCCTAAACCCTAAACCCGAAGCCCCCTGCGCGGTCGACGCAGTTTTCCTCGCGCCCGCGGCGCGCCGCAGGGAGCGGAGAGCCGGCGCGAGCTCGTCACAGTAGTGCATGAACCTTCGGGTTTAGGGTTTAGGGTTTTGGGGTTTAGGGTTTAGGATTTAGGGTTTAGGATTTCGGGCTTTAGGGTTAAGGGTTTAGGGTTTAGGATTTAGGGTTTAGGGGCTAGGGTGGGCTTAAAACAAGCTTGGGGCTTCAGGTGGTTTAGGGTTTCGAAGGGCTTGGGGTTTAGGGTTTAGGGCTACTACGTTCAAGCCTTGTTCCTCTTAAAGGCGCATCGCTTGCAGGTACAGGTGGGGGGCCTTCATATAAACTAGACCCTCTGAACAACTTTCCTGAACATAATCCTCTTGAACGCAACGAAGGGAAGATGGTAAAAGAGACCCAGGGCCTTCATGTAAAGGTACCGCAGCAAGAACGCCAGCGGAAGGGAGCTTTGGTGGGTCAGTGGGCATTGGGTCTGACTCGGGGGTTTAGAGCCACACCCTGATTCCACAGGCAACTCACCAATTCGAGATCCCGCCTCTGGTGATTAACGCAGTCTCGGGGTGAGGGCTTTTGGTTACCAGTCCCTAAACCTTAGGGTTTAGGATTTCGGGTCCCCCTTAAGCCCTACCCAAGCATTCCCTTGATCCTCGGCCCTAGATTCCCCTTAAGCTTGAGGCCTGACATATTCCGCGGAACGAGGGGCTGCAGCAACACCGCTGCACTTGGGGCGCTTCCGCCGGCCAGATGGACAGGTACCTTGGGCTGAGGGTTTAGGGTTTAGGGTTTAGGGTTTAGGGTTCGGGGTTTAGGGTTTAGGGATTAGGGCGGCTTCACAGTGTTTAGGATTTCTACAGAAGCCAGAGACACCCAAACCGCTTCAGGAAGACCCTTCATTCAGAATCAGGCTTCCCAATGTGTTCTGAGCTGTTTTGTGGCACGTTGACACTACATGGTACTTGTTCAAAAATACTTTCCCGGCAAAGAACCAAACCGCCCTAAACCATGAACCCTAAACACAAACCCCAAAGAACCATAGGGGCCGGTTCCCCTTGGAGAGAAAGGATTCCCCTTGTAAGGGACCCTTATCCCATGTCCACGGACCTTTAAACTTTAGAACAGCCCTAAACCCTAAACCCTAAACCCTAAACCCTAAACCCTAAACCCTAAACCCTAAACCCTAAACCCAAGATTCATATTGAAAAGACCCTGGAACCCCTCAAAAACCCTCCCAACCCTGAGTTGAACGTGAACTCCGACATCCTCCAACGTAAGACCCTAAGCCCTTTAAGCCCCGAAACCCTTAAAAGCAAGCCCCCAAGCCCCCGTAAGTTTAGGGTCTAGGGTTTAGGGTTTAGGGTTTAGGGTTTAGGGTTTAGGGTTTAGGGTTTAGGGTTTAGGGTTTAGGGTTAAACCCTGAGCCACAAGGTCCTGAAGAGAGATGCCCAAGGCGCCAGGGTCAGCCCTAGTTCAGCACAGGCGGTGCGGGCGCTGCGCCGCGCCGCTTTCGCTGGGGCCTACAGCTGCTCGGGGGAGGGGGATTTCGGGTGTAGGGTTTAGGGTTTGGGGTTGAGGGTTTAGGGTTGGGGGTTTAGGGATTTCGTCCCCACATCCGTTTACTGCATTCAGGAACTGATAAAATCAATTTTCAGAGGACCTTCAAGGACTTGACTTCGGAGGTCTTGGAGGATTAAAGGTTCTGGGGCTCTATGGGCTCCGGGATTGTGATACTGTGATACAAGGGTTTAGGGCTTGGGTTTTGCACCAACACGGCTGGGACACAAGTCTGCGCCCCATGATTGGAGCAGCAGTCACCCTAAACCCAAAACCCGAAACCCTATCCCCAAAACCCAAAACCCTAAACCCTAAACCCACTCCATGAAAGGACTTGCAGTGCTGGCTTGTCCCGTTATTTTGGGGGGGGCTTTCGAAAATAGGGGTACCCTTCTTGGGGATCCCTTGATTGGGGTTTACAGGGCCGCAGTTTGAGGGTAACGAAACATTGACGTTTGGCGGTTGATGGGGCTACTCTTCCCCACCCAATTCCTAAACCCTAAGCCCTAAACTCTAAGCCCTGAACCCTGAACCCTAAACCCTAAACCCTAAACCCTTCACCTCAGACCTAAGCATCTGGGCTCAGTCACTCAAGCCCGCAATCGCAAAATAGAGCTTTGGGGCTTTGGGGCAAGTTAGGGTTTAGGCTTTGGGCGGCTTTGGGGCGTTCGAGTTTCTGGGATTAGGGCTTAGGCCTTAGGCCTTCGGAATCAGACTGCAAAAGACTTCCCAAAGCCAGCGGCGATGAGGAGCAAAAGCTGCTTTGGCTGCCACTTCCCCTTCTCCTCGCCACTGCTCCAACCAGCCACACCCAAACGAAGACACTACAGGGGCCTCCATAATTCGAATAGGGTTTTGGAGGATACTGTAGTATAATTATGAAGGGACCACAAGGGAATGCTATTAGCAATTATTCCGGCCCCTCTGTTACAGGATCAACCGCCCTAATGTTCAACCACTTTCAAAGCCACGAGCCAAAAACCCACCCTAAACCCTGAAACCAAACTTCCGCCACCCCCCCTCTTCCCCCTTGAACCCCAAAAGTCCCGAGCGCCAACATCCACAGGCCTCGAAACCCCCTGGCTTGCAAGTCTTGGAACTGAACTTCAGCTTTTTCGGAGGTGTTGCCCCAAACCCTCAACTCTAACCCTAAACCCTAAACCCTAAACCCTAAACCCTAAACCCTAAACCCTAAACCCTCAACTCTCAGCCCCAGACATTTCTGAAGGGTTCTCTTTCAAAGACCTCTTTGGCTTCCAGGGGCGGGAAGCTTGGGGGGGGGTTTGGCTCAAATTGGGGGGTTGGGGCCAGAGCCCTGAGCTCTGTGTAGAACCGGATCTTGGCAATTGCAGGGTTGAGGGTTTAGGGTTTAGGGTTTAGGGCTTAAGTGGCAGGCCTCCCCGCCCCTGCAGATCAGGAGCAGGATCTCCCCCCCCCCCCATATCCCGAAGACCCCAAATCTGGAAAACCCTAAAGCCCCAAAACCCCAAACAAAACCTAAAACAACAAAAAAACACTCAAAAGAAACCCAACAAAACCCCCCCTCCCCCCCCCCCCCCCCAAAAAAAAAAAAAAAACAAAAAAACCCAAAACCCCAAACCCAACCCCCCGGACCCCCCACGCCCGGTCCTGAATCTCGAGGAAAAGGTTGGCAGCTTCGGTCTGGGCCGGTGGGAACTGAAAGTGAAAGGAACGGACTGAACCCGTGGTTTTGGCAAGAAGCCGAAGCAGTGTATGGCCTGGAAGCCACAAAGCCCTAAACCCAAGAACTCCGAAGCCCTGAAGCCTTGGACTCGTTTGGGAGTTCCATGATTCTTCCTGTTCTTTGGGGCCGACCTGGTGATCTGAATCCGCAAACACGCCCGAGGCTTGTTTCTCCATGCAGCAGATCACCATACATGACTCCATGCTTCTGCGACGTCGTTCCCGACGAGCCGATAAGTGCTCATAGAACAGGGTTTAGGGTTTAGGGTTGAATCAGGAGAGGGAGGCTTGAAAGCTCACCCAGGAGAACGACATGTCGTCCTGCCAAGTCCACAGTGGAGCTGGTCCGGCTCGTTGTTTTTTCATGATTGGGCCGTCTTGGGACCATCGAGGGTCATGAGCTCGAAGAGATCGGCTACGAAGACGACTCGGCTGCGCACTGCAGGCAGGCATTCGGCCCCTCAACTCTCGCGACGTGAGCCAAACATCGTGTACACCTCCCGCTTGTACCCTGGGTCGAAGGGTGTGCGAAAATGGCCAAATCTGTGATTGTCCAAGACCACAAACTGACCAGGGCGCCAAGACCAGGTGAGCATGTTCGCATTGTAGCATCGGACGATTCGAAAAACATCCCACGCAGAGACCGCTGATCCATCGGCCAACGCAGTCGAAGAGAGACCAGGGGATCTCAAGAACGGTGGCAAAAGCAGCCCTATCCCCGGCACGCAGGTCAGAAGTCTGAGCACGGAGAAGACCCCGGTAATGAGGGCCAAGATCCTGAGTTGACGCCTACGACCCTCGGACAAATATTCCTAAACAAGGCCCCTCCAACCCTATCAGGGAAAGCGCAAAACAGTCCCGAGAGGCCTACCTAGGATCGTGGTCACGACGACTTGCCGAGTTGTCCGGTTATGAAAGGCGGCATCGAAGAGGGATTGGGCAAAAGCTCCAGCCCAATGGAACTTTGGATTGTAGCCTCCGTTAGATTCAGACGGTTTTGTTCGGGGTCCGCACAAAAAACATTCTAAATGCCGAAGTTTCAGCGAACGAAAGCGAACGAAACATGGGTTGGAAGGGCATAGTCTAGTACACTACCACCCAATAGGAAAACGTTCGTGTTCCCAAAAAGGCACAACCTAAACCCCAAACCATAAACCCTAAACTCATACCCTAAACCCTTCAGCGGCGAGACCCGTCCACAAGCGCTCGCCGGTGACAGGGTGCGGTGCCACCGCCGGCATGGCGGCAAAGCGCTGCATCCAGCCGTTCCGCCAGTCAAGTACGACGTCGTCACCGATATCGCCTCAAGATGACTTGCTTCTCCTACAGCCGAGGAAGCAAAAAGGCTATACTAAGTATAGGAACCCAAAAAGTTTAAAGTTCAACTGTTGGCTAGCCCACCTAGCCTGAACCGCCCCAAAAAAGGGCAAACGGGTATCACAGGGCTACCAAGCTCACACGTTATTCTACTAGTGAGCCGAAAGCAAGTGAGTAGGAACCCCGCGGAAAGAAATATGAAAATATGTCCCTCTATTCCGAAGACCAGCCCTGCAGAGAAAACCACGTTCAGCAGTCTTACAGAGGGTTGAGGGTTCAGGGCTTACCAAGTCCAGCTAATTAACTTTCAGCGGTGTTGCGAATCGCCTCTGGCGTCATTGCTGCAGCAGCTGCTTCCCCTGGTTGTGCACCAAAGAAGCGCCAGCTGCGACCGATACGCCTGAAGCCGAAACGGCCTGGGCTTGAATTGACCCCGGATGCCCGTGGTTCCCGCAAGCTTCAAGCTTTAAGACCCAATTTGCCTGGAAATCTGCTGTCAATAATACAGACACCTGGACCAGATTGAAGGCATGGGCCGAACTGCGAGGGGATGAGAGAAAGAGAGAAAGAGAGAGAGAGAGAGAGAGAGACAAAACAAAAGAGAGAAAGAGAAAAACAGAGAAAGAGAGAAAAGAGAGACAAGAGAGACAAGAGAGAAAAGAGAGAAAAGAGAGAAAAGAGAGAACAGAGAGAAAAGAGAGGAAAGAGAGGAAAGAGAGAAAAGAGGAAAAAGAGAGAAAAGAGAGAAACGAGAGAAAAGAAAGAAACGAGAGAAAAAGAGAGAAAAGCGAGAACAAGAGAGAAAAAAACGAAAAAGAGCGAAAACGAGAGAAAAAGAAAGAACAAAGAGAGAAAAAGAAAGACAAACGAGAAACAAAAAGAGCGACAAAGAGAGAACAAGAGCGAACAAGAGAGAAACAAGGGAGAAAAAATGGAGAACAAGAGAGAAAAGGGGAGAAAAGGGAGGGAGAAAGGGATAAAGGGAGAAAGGGAGAAAGGGAGAAAGGGAGAAAGAGAGAAAGAGAGAAAGAGAGAACGAGAGAACGAGGGAAAGAGAGAAAGAGAGAAAGAGAGAAAGAGAGAACGAGAGAAAGAGAGAAAGAGAGAACGAGAGAAAGAGAGAAAGAGAGGAAGAGAGGAAGAGAGGAAGAGAGGAAGAGAGGAAGAGACGAAGAGCGGAAGAGAGGAAGAGAGAGAGGAAGAGAGAGAGGAAGAGAGAGAGGAAGAGAGAGAGGAAGAGAGAGAGGAAGAGAGAGAGGAAGAGAGAGAGAGAAACAAAGAGAGAACAAAGAGATAAACAACGAGAGAAACAAAGACAGAGAGAAACAAAGAGAGAAAGAAATAAAGAAAGAAAGAAAGAAAGAAAGAAAGAAAGAGAGAAATACAGAAATACAGAAATACAGAAATACAGAAATACAGAAATACAGAAATACAGAAACAAAGAAAGAAAGAAAGAAAGAAAGAAAGAAAGAAAGAAAGAAAGAAAGAAAGAAAGAACAACGAAGTAAGAACGAGCTAGCAAACTAAAGAAATAAACAAAAACATCGAGACAGACAGACAGAAAGAACGAAATACAAAGAAAGAAAGAGACAGTGGCGGGGATGAGGCCTGGGTCGAACTGCGAGGGGATGAAGTACACCCCCGGCACTGGCGGTAGGTTCATGGAGCAGCGCAGACCCGGCAAAAAGCGCCGGAGGAGGTCGCTGGGAAGATCGGCAAGGACCTCTGCCGAAGGCAATGCTTATGTGAGCTTATGTAGGGAGGGTATTATACTTATGTAACTAGCAGTAAAGAAGAGGGATGGGGAATGATGGGGATGGGGAAGGGGGGGATAGGAGAGAAAGAGGGAGATCACCTTTTAAGGCTTTGCTGAAGGTGTTCAAAAGGCTTTTGAAGGCCTTCTTGCAGGTTTCTTACAGGAATCCGCTGAGGGGCTGCTCGCATGTCGATGGCCGGCGTCTGCCCCCCGGCACAGGGCGGTGCGAAAGTGCAGAAGAAGGCGATGAAGTCTGGCTTGCTCTGTGGCATGTAGCTCAGCCTGGGGAATCCGTTTTGACATTGTTGAAACGTTTTGACGGCGCTGGTGAGGCTGTTCGTAAGCTATGTTACAGCTCGGTTTTCGTGCCTTCGCTTACAAGTTGCAGGGCGGCATGTAGCTGAGCCTAAGGATTCGTTGTTAACGCCCCTTGATTGGAGGCTCTTTTGACAGCTTGCGGCAGGCTCGTCTGCAAGCTGGATAGATGAACTACAATTGACCGGGTTTCTTGCGTTCTGTTAGAAGCTTTACGGCAGAATGTCCACTTTGTTCCAGTTGTAAAACCATAGGCCCTTCGAACAAACAGGATGCGTGCTGTTATGACTTAATCTATACGCTGAGTATATTTCGAACACACTACAAATTCAGGACAACCATATTCGAATTATCTAATCTATGTTCTAAGTTATCTCCAAGAATATCATAACTGTAGGCCGAGGAGCTCGGTGTGTCCGGGAATCGGCATGTTCGGGTGCAGTTCCGTGGAGGTCCAGACCTTCTCAGCGACCTTTTTGCGAGCAACGCCGCCCAGATATGAATCTGTGAGGAGAAAGAGCTCCTCAGCCCAAGCCAAAGAGCAAAAACAAGCACGAGTAGAACCGTCGCAAACCTGGATGCAAAAAGAAAGAACTTCGCAAAACAAAGGGAACTGAAGAGCCACTGTAAGCACTTTCTTCCACAAACGCCTCAATCCGCGCATGGAGATGCACAACTGACTTCAGCTCAGGCTCATCTAAGCAACGCTGGAAGTCCAAGGGGCTCTTGAGTGCAGGTGCCCTGAACAGCAGGATGCCAGAATCGGCCAACAGCCGCTGCCACTTGGTCCGCTCGTCCCGTATGGCAGCGTACACCTCGTAGGATTTCGGGTTTGTAGGGTTTGTGGTTTAGGGATTTAGGGTATAGGGATTTGGGGTTTAGGTGAGTTCTTTGCAGGTTTAGTGGTCTAGTGAATTCTTTTGAAGAAGAACTGCCTAGCAAGTGGAGAAGGCCGAAGGAAGGCGAACGAGTAGAACTTCCTTCTAAAGGGTAAAACACACAGCTTGGCAGCACGTAAGCCCATGCCAGCCTTCCAACAAAGGAAAGGGAGCAACCCCCCCCAAACCCTAAACCCTAAACCCTAAACCCCGAAACCCTAAACCCCAAAACCCATTAAGTCACACCCGACGAGGCCTCCTCCGCTGTGGCCCCAGTAATCTCATATTCCGGCAGGGCTGGCATGGCCCCAAGTCCGCCCCAAGCCCTAAACCCTAAACAGTCCCCTAAACCCTAAACCCTAAACCCTAAACCCTAAACCCTAAACCCTAAACCCTAAACAATCCCCTAAACCCTAAACACGAAATGGCGAGAAGGCGAAGCTGCAGAATCAGGCGGGCCGTCGTGGCTGCTGATGTGTGGGGGTTGTTCCAGAAGGTCTAGGGTTTAGGGTTTAGGGTTTAGGGGGATGATTGTACTAAAGAGGACCATACCTCATGGATCTCTTGGGTACAGGGAACTTGAGCAACAGCTACCATGTCAGCAAGCATGAAGTCGTCTCTTTCCCAAAGGGGTTCTGGACTGTCGGTTCAACAGACTCTCAGGCCAGTCCTCATAGCGACTCTGAAGCCTCAACACGCCCAAAAAACCGGTTTAGGGTTTAGGGTTTAGGGTTTAGGGACTCCACGTTCAAGTCCTTTGCCCCGAAACCTTGAAGCTCATGCTCCGAACACCGACATCCAGAAGCCCCGACCTCCTCAGCCTGCAAAACCGAAGCCCCGAACCCTAAACCCTAAACCCAAACCCTAAACTCTAAACCCTAAACCCTAAACCCTAAACCCTAAACCCTAAACCCTAAGCCCTGCTTGAAAGCTCATGGGGTAGTGACGAGTAAGGGCGTGTGGGAATCCTGGGAAGTTCTATGAAAATGTCGGAAGCATGAGCCACTCATGAGCAAATCTAGCAAGGTTGCCCTGCCCCTAAACCCTAAACCCTAAACTTGATGAGAGTTAGAGCTTTGGGTTTAGGTTGTTCAGAGTTCCGACTTTGGGGCTTAAGAGCTTAGACTCTCGACAACGCAAGCTTTTAGCCGAGGAGGGGTGGTGAGAACGCGGAGTTCAGGGCTTAGGGCTTTGGCCTTCCACCCCGAACCCCAATTGAAGCCCGAAACCCTAAACCCTAAACGCCCCAAACCCTGAGTTGATCCGCACTCCACGGCGCATCCCCACGTACCAACTCGACACCTTCTGCCCCACTGCCCTACACTGCCCGTTCGAGTGCCAAGTCCTCAAGTTTGAAGGGCTGCCCTAAACCCTAAACCCTAAACCCTAAACCCTAAACCCTAAACCCTAAACCCTAAACCCTAAACCCTGAACCCCAAACCTGCAACCCTTAAAACCCTCAACCCTGGACCCTGACCTGCAGTTGACTTTGGAGGAGACAAGGACATGGGCGTGCTTGTTTAGGGTTTAGGGTGTAGGGTGTAGGGTTCAGGGATCATTAATGGTATAATCATCACGCTCCAGGGTATAGGGTTTAGGGGTTTAGGGGTTTAGGGGGTCTGCGGTTCAGGAGTGCAGAACTGAGGATGGACCATGTCCGGGCTTGAATGACAACTGAAACACGGTTTGGGGTTTAGGGTTTAGGGTTTAGGGTGTAGGGTGTACGGCGAAGGCCTTAGAAAACATCGGGCAGCCTCACCATCACTGCACAGGAGGAGCGCAATGGCATCCTGCCCGAGGGAAGGGGTCGAAGCCCTAAACCCTAAACCCTAAACTGGGTTGAGGGCTCTTTGGGCTTGAGAGAGTCTGGTCCAGGTGCCCAACGATGGTCACTTAATAAAGCCCGATTTATGTCAGGTGCAACTCCAAAGGGTTTAGGGTTTAGGGTTTAGGGGGGAGACCCTCGTGCAGAGAACCCACACCCCAACCCCTAAACCCCATAAATCCTGAACCTTTCAGCTTGTAAAACTCTACTTCCGCCTTCTAGTCGCTAGTCGATGTCCCACATCATGCCGATACCTCCACCTACACAGCTGCGGAGCTACACTGGTGTCCAGTTTTTGTAGTACCCAGGGTACTGCGAAAGAGGGAACCATCACGTTTGGGGAGCACCCCGAGAAGAACGCTGTGAGAAGGGCATGGAAGGGTGTGGGGATTCACTTCTCCCGCCCCCATAGACCCTCACCCAAAACCCTAAACCCCAAAAGCCCAAAACCCCAAACCCTAAACCCTAAATCCGCGCTGAGGGCTTCGGGTGTCGGGGCTCCTGTGGATCTGTGCCCGCAGCCTTCAGCGACTTCCTTGCGCGTTGACTTTGTCTGGCGGGGTCGAGGTTTCGGGGCAAGGGTTTAGGGTTTAGGGGTTCGTGAGTTAAGAACCTTTGAAGCTGTTGCAGAATGAGCTACGAAAGGTGAGCTTGGGGCTCTCATGGAACCAGAACCTTGACCAACTGAAGCTCTACAACCCTAAAACATCAAAACAAACAAGAACTCTTGAACCCTAATCCCTACTCCTAGAACCCTATAAGCCCGTTTACAACCCAGAGGACTTTGTTGAGTTCTAACTTCAGGTCGACTGGAGGAAGCCCGATTTTAGCATTTTACCCTAAACCCTAAACCCTAAACCCTAAACCCTAAACCCTAAACCCTAAAGCGTTGCTAGACTTGGTTGAGGGCTCAGTCTGTACACACCCGAAGCAGTACTGTCGTTCTGGATGCAATGTTCCTTCCGGGGTTTGCGTTTCATAAGGGATGCTACAACCCTAACCCCTAAACCCTAACCGTTTTAGGCGGCCCTGGTGTAACAAACAACCTTACTAGAAACCCTTGGCAGAAACAGTCGAATCCTAAATCTACAGGTTCCGGGTTTAGGGTTTAGGGTTAAGATTTCAGCTGCCACCACTGAGAACAGGTAGGCTGGCTGCTCTCAACCTACTGGTTCCCAAGAGCGCATGAGGGACATAGTTATGCAGGGTACCCATTCCCTCATTCCCCTAAACCCTAAACCCCAAAGGCTTGATTTAACCCAAAACCCTAAACCCTAAACCCTAATTGCACCCTAAACCCTAAACCCTAAACTCTACATTAGAGGTCTAGGGGTTTGGGGTTGGCTATTCGACCCCTAAACTACTATTTGCTTCAGAACCCCAAAAGAATAAACAATAATCATCCCTATATTAGACTGAATAAGGAAGAAATATTTCCATTTTTTCCGGAAGAATACATAATAATCCCTATACTAACCCTAATAAGGAAGAACATTTCTATTTTTTCCGGGGTTCTTAAGCAATTCGTGGTATAGTGAAGGCACCTCAGCTCCCGTTGCCACAGTGCCCCAGAACCCGGGCGGCGGCGGGTGCAGCGGTCGCGGAGCGCAGCTAGGAGCTGCAGTTCCTTAGGGTTTAGGGTTCAGGGTTTAGGGTTTAGGGTTCAGGGTTTGGGGTTCTTTAAGGTTTTGAGGGGTGTAGAGGGTTTTTGGGTTTTTTTTTGGGGGGGGGTTTTAGGGTTTTTTTAAGGTTGCAGGGCTTCAGGGGTTCTAGGGCTTTAGGCGGTTTAGGGTATTTAGGGTTTTGGGGTTTTAGGGTTTTAAGGCTTTTAGCGTTTTCGGGGTTTAGGGACTTTTTTTGAAGTTTCATGGGTGCAGCAGAGTTATGTTTCTACATCTACTATTTACACACCGGGTTTTCCGGGAGCACCCGACTTTAAGCTGGCGTGAACCTTGAGGTTAGGACTTTGGCTTAAGGCGTGCTTCGGAGAGCTTGAAACACAGTGCGCCTTGTTGTGGCTCTTTTGCTCCACAGCAGAGTCATTCAGGGAACTGAGGTCGGCCAAACCCATACTCGAAGCATGGATGAATCACAAGTAGGGCTGCTGTGGCTCATTAAGGTGTAAAAACCCGATCCGTAAAACCACGCATGAACCTTCAAGTAAGCTAATGGGATGATAAACTTTGCTTGCAGGCTTCATTGGAGCTTTTGTCTCATTGCATAGACTCCAATCAGTCACAAAACCCTGAGACAA